CGTCATTTGAGAAAATCAGTGGCTGAAAAAATCATAATCCAAATGACACTGACCACTGCTTTTGAATCCTCTGTTATTAATATGAAAACTGGGGCATGGCTTCTTGCTTAGTTTTTGGTGGTTTTTTTTTTTAAAGATTTTATTGGGGAATTGGGGGAGGGGAACAGACAAGTTGCTGTCGTTTTGTTCTTCAGTCTAGTTGTGGAGGACGTCGCTTCACTGGCCTATGTTGGTATTATCATTGCGCTCTTCCCAGGTGAGGCAGTCACTCGCCAGCCATTGGCAAATTCATACTTTAGTTATCTTTTGGTAAAATCACAATACACATTTTTTAAACATTTCCCTGCAGTCTTGTAACGACTCATATTCATTTGTGCTTATTTCTTTTAATTCTTGATCCTTTAATATTTTAAGTAGTTCAAAAATAAAAACATCAACAACTTAAAGGCACTGACATTATCTGAAGAGACATAATAGAAAAAATTATTCTGGAAACTAAATTTATCTGACTTTATTCATCCACAAAGGCTTTTCACACAAGATATCATGAGGAAACAACTAAAGAGTTTTCTTTCTTTCTTTCCTTCTTTCTTTCTTTCTTTCTTTCTTTCTTTTTCTTTTTGTCTCTCTTCTAATAACTGCAAGGAAGCACAGACATTCCCAAAAAAATGTGTGGCGTAACAGCTGTCAGACTACCCATGTCCATGGTTGTAAAGTTGAAAAGAAAGTGGGAAAAGGACCCTCATTCTGAGCTTCATCTCCTTGCACTGCACTTCAGCCAACCTACAAAAGTAGCCCTTTGTGTCCCGGAGGACGAAGCCGCTACAGAGGGGAGGCCCGTGTCCCCAGCCCCGGACCCCGGGTCTGCAGGGGGAGCTCACAACAGGGTCCAGCAAACAATTCTCAGCCTTGCAGCTCAGTCTGCTCCCAACTGCCACAGATGTGCAAGTCCGAACCTGCTCTTTATCTCCCTTCTAAAAGCTTCATTTTCATATTTTCTTTGAATTGTGTAGAAATTGTTCTTTCTGGAGAAGTGAAAGTGCCTGAAACAGTCGGTGGCATGCGCGTGGGGCCTGCTGCCCGCAGCCCTGGGCTGCAAGGCGGCCTGAAACCCAGCTGAACACAAGCTAAATGCTTTCAATACTCAGAAATCCATCAAAGGTTCTGCTGAATGATATTTATAAGAGCCTCACTGTTCTCTTTCAAAACTGAAATGCCCTTCTCCCACACTTGAAAAAAACTGCTCGTGCTTTTCATCTTCCCTCTCAGAGTGTAAACATTGTTTTGAGTGAAAAGAGCTGAAGGAGAGCTTACTTTCCCTTGAAATTTTATTTTTAAATAAGAGAGGGAGAAAATCCTTGTTCTGACTAATACTAATAATACAGGTCAAAGTGTCAGGCAATATACAATTAAATAGAAAACAAAAAAGGTCCCTCTTTTTCCCACAGCACAATGGCACTAGAGTGTAAATCACCCACGAGATGAAATAACACTTCAAAGCCCATCGGGCATTTTTGTGGCATGGGGAGACACTGAGGCTGTCGGTGACCCATGGACTTGGGGGCGTTGCTGAATAGTCCGAAGCTAGCATGAGGTGGGATTTTCAGTCCCTACAGCCTGTGACCCCATGATATGCTTTGTGTCATGAGGGCAGCTGCAGTTATCAACAGATGTTTTGGCAATAAAGAGCGGGTACATCTCGGAAAGGACCCACCTACGTGGGGAGAGGGCACAGTACCGACAGCCTGCCCGGCTATCACAGTCCCATTAATCTCCCATCGCCCGGGTGTCTCAGAGCGCGTTCCGCAGGTGCTTTCTCTGGGAGAGGGCGGACAGGCTCTCTCAAGTCAGCTAGCTTTGTGTGGCGGGTGAGGGAGGCTGGCTCCGGCCATAAATTTCTGTCTGTGACCAAAGGAGGAAGGCTGGGGCCGGGGGTGGGGCCGTGCAGGACAGAAAGCAAAGCCCCAAACATGTAATTTTTCTTGATTGAGTTCCACCTAAGAGAGTAACATTATAAATGACTCTAGATTTCACCAACTCAGACACTATTGAAAATAGCTTAGGACTTTCTTTTTTCTTAACGATTCTATGCTTAACATTGATCTATTATTTGTGGAATTAACTTAAAGGCACAGTGTTTCCAATCTAAGTGTAATGCTAATTTTAAACATGGAGGGAAAACATTTTATGGGAAGGATTCACTCAAGGAGAAAAATCATGGAAAGCTTAGATTTATGAAAAATACCCTAAGAAGAGGTAGCTGAAAAGACAAACTCAGAGCCTTTATTTTTTATGTGAGAACAGAATCTCACAATGAATTGGTTATTAAGACTCCATCCAGCTCCGGTAACTCCTGCTAATAAAGCCAGTGGCTCAAGGAGACACAGAGCAGCAGTGCACTCGTTACTGTAACCAGCTGGGGAGCAAAGTAGCTGAGTCCACAGGGTGTTCGCGTTCTCTGTGTTGACAAAACAGAGTTGGGCTCTGACACAGTAGAAGAGTAAGATCCTGAGGGTCTTAGCAGGTGTGGACGGTTAATTTGCAGCTTGCAGGGTGAGCTGAGGAAGAGAAGCTCCGAGTTGAGGCCGCTTGGGTCAAATACAGGAGAGGCTGGAGAAGACCAGTGGGCGGCTTCCTACAGCTGCCACCGAGGGGGCCTGTGAGCTGGGCACAAGCGTCTTAAAATCTGTGTGCCTCCGTCTCCCCAGTTGTGACATCTGTGCGACAAAGGGAAGGGAGGTAGGAGGGGTGATGAACGGACTGTTTAACCACGGTGAGCAGCGTGTCTTCCAGCTGACATGAACCTCAAAGACAGTGAGACTTGAAGTTTGGGGTTTTTTCCATCTATATATCTATATATCTATATATCTATATATCTATATATATATATATGAAAAACCCATTATGCAGGATTTGAACCGGCAACCTTGCTGTTAAGAGCGCACACTCTATCCACTAAGCCATCCAGGTGGCAGCTCAGCTCAAGGTGCCGAGTTCGAGACTTGAAGTTTTTAAAACAGCACCTCCAGTTTTCCAGCTAACGCCACTTCCAGCTTTGAATGAGGGGTCTGGTGACGGCAATGTGGGGCAGGAGAAAAATTCTGGTGCTGCCTCGTGCTGCCTGTCGGGTCTCAGTCTGTTGAAATTCAGAGGAACTTCCTGGGTCCAAGGTCAAAGCAGGGCTCCCCCCCCCCTTCGGAGACAAGCCCTGCTGTCACTTCCTGGGAAGCCTCGAGGTCCCTGTGGGCCCCCCGCAGAACCCACGCTCTCCCGCTCTTCTGGAAGCATGGTTCCTGAGCTGATGGGAAAGGGGTTTCCCTCCTGACTGGTCTCCTGCGACCGCTTCAGTGCTCCTTTCCGCCCACATCCGTCCCTGTCCAGCCCCTCACCCGCCACCCTTCCCTGTAGGACCCTGGCATTGCAGTCCTTGGGGGCTCGTCTGAGGCTGACTGGTGGAGCCTCTGATGTGCTCAGACTGGTGGAGGGGAGGACCCAACGGTGAATTCCCACCGCGTTGCAGGTCGCTGTCGGAAGGCTTCCCGAAGGCTGCACTGTCCAGTGCAATGGTCGCCTTAGGCACATGTGGCTATTCATGTGGGAATTGGCAAAATATTAAATAAAACTAAAACCATTAGCCCTGTAGCCGTACTCGCCACGAGGGCCTGGCACGTGGGGCGGCAGACATGCAAGCAGGCCCCTCACTGCACAGTGTCTGCCTGTGCTCGGGCTCTGCATGCTGGCCTCTCGAGGGCAGCTGTCCTGGGACAGAGGAGGCTCTGAGTCACAGCGCCACACTTGCTGGCTGCGCCCTGGGCCCCTGAACCCCAGTGTCTCCATCTGCAAGTAGGATAACGATGGTGATAGTCACTGCAGGGCTATGTTGAGAAGTCAGTGAGAAGACGCAGAATAAGCACTTTGTAAGCTCCACAGCGACACGTAAATATAGTCCTTTTCCCATTCTTCTTCTCTGCAAACACCAACCACGCTCATTTAAAGCCCCTGTCTCACCACGGCACCTTCCAACTGTCCACTTTCCTTTATCTGCTTAACCCAGTCTGTTTGCTTGTTTTTAGGGGGGGATGGGAAAGGTGGGGGTTTTACCACTCCTATTAAATCTCCAAAGATGCTCTTCTATGTACACAGATCAGGGCTCTTTCCTGGACTTTTGCTCTGAAGGTGAAGACAATGTGTACACCTTTAAGTGGAGATGACCCCCAACCACATTCCCAGGTAAACCTATAAAGTAACAATTTTAGGATATTGTCATCACTTGTCACTCCTGGTCCAGACAAGCATAATTTTATACGAGAAAAAAAATGCACGTGCACCAGTGGGCTGTCCCCCTGACACTCATCTGAGGGAATGTGACGGAAGGACGGCTTCCCAGAAGGAAAGCCGCACCCCTGCAGCTCATCAGGCCCCGAGCCTGAAGCCAGCAGAGGCCCAGCTGCTGCTGGTCCCAGGGCTCCCTGCTCTCCGGGGCACAGGCCCCCGTTGGTTTAATCCCCACAAAGGGAGGAAGGGTGAGGGTGTCTCTCATGGGATGTACATCGATCTGCACAGCCTGAACCAGGACACCAGGTCTGGGGAGGGAACTGCCAGTAGTCCTCAGCTCAGGCTGCAGGCCACACTCATGCAATGGTGGTGAACTTATTTTTTGAAACTACCCAACTTTTAAGAAGTAGCATTTCAAAACAGCAGTGCTATGAGGCACCGCGGAATCCTAACGACAACTCATGGTCCCCCCGCAACATGTAAATGTCTCAGCTCCTGAAATCCACGACCACCCTCGCTTGGTCTGCTTTCCAGCACAGGTCCCAGGCAGGCGCGCACGCTTTTCTGAAAGCGACCTCCCTCTCACCATCAGTGAGTCTGGCAGAGGTGACAAGGGTGGGGGCTGTCCTGTGCCTCAAAGAAACTTGATCTGTGAGACCACTTCAAGGCAGAGGCTGAGTGCCTCCCTGGGGGAGGCCGGGAGCAGGTGGTGTGGCTCTTCCTACCAGTAGTTGCTGCAGCCCAGCGCCGATCACGTCCTGCAGGTTTGTTTTGTCCTCGGGGCCCACGGCTTGTTTGTATTGCCACTTCTCAGGCACGAAGGGCCACTTCATTTCCTTTGCCTCCTGGATGAGGGTCCTTAACTCGCTGGGGAGTGGAGCTGAAAAGGTCAGAGTTCAGTTAAGGAAATTGCAGGCAAAAAAAAAGGCTGTTGAGTTACCAATGTCATGATGAAGCACCGCGGCGCCCACACAGGCCCCGCCTGCCTCTTGCTGGCTGGGCTGAGCTGCCGCTGTGGCTCGCAGGACAGCAGCCAGGGCCTGTCCGTCAGGGTGGCCGCCCCGTGCCCTGCAGGTAAGCTGGGGCAGTGGGGCGGTCAGAGCGGCTCCAGCAGGAAGCAAGGTGTTCCTGCGGCACGTCTGCACGCAGAGCCAGACAAAGGGAAGAAGGAAATATTATTTTCCCTGTAAGGTGAGAAGGCACCTGAGCCCTCCGGATGGCGTCTGGGGCTGGAGCGGCCGGGAAACGGAAATGCCGGGTCAGGGTGCACAACCGTTTTCTCCTCTAGGTCTCACCTCAGCTCATCTTTTCACCACGGGCTATATTTGAATACAGCGAATGAATATGAAAAACCCAAATGACATCGAAATGTTTTCAGTGTACTGTGCAATGACCTTGTTTCACAGTAGTAGATATATTTAGCTTCTTAATGGGCACCAAACCTGCTTACACACCGAGCCCAAACCAAAAGCCTCCGGAAACTGGAAGGTTTTTTCTCAAGTTTGACACCCGAAACCGACGTGAAGTGACTAAAGCCTATTTGTAGTTGTATTTATCCTACTTAGCGAGCTTGGTCAGAAGTTTGGCTGCAAAACTTTTGATGTTTGTCAGGAGATGCCGCCCAGCTGCCGCTGGGCTGTGAAGGTAACAGATGGTCCATGGTGGACCTCACCTCCTTCCTGACATCTGAAAAACTCTGAAGCGCACCTGACTCCCAGGGCTCTGGACAAAGGACAGAGGACAGTGACACACGGCTGCGAGCCATGCACCTCCAGACTCCGCGCACCTCACACTGAGCCTTCACCTTTCTTTGGACCTGTGTTTACCCCTTTCCACTCTGTTGTCACGAATGCTACCAGCGTCCCTGGGCCACCCCCGGCCTGACACCCAGGCTCCACGCGGGATTTTATGCGCTCCCTTCCTCTCTGACTCGAACTGGTTACCAGACTCCATGAATTCCCGCATCCCTCCATCCTCTTCATGTCATGATTCTCATCTGCGTCCCTCCTCCCATCTCCATGGCGTCCATCCTGTTTCTCTGCAAACAGGCAGACCAGGCCGCTGGCTGCCTTCACGCCTGCTGTTGGGCTTGCACTGCCTCTCCCAGCCCCTGTGCAGCCAAGCTCAGGTCCCCTGACCAGCATTCAGCCTGCCAGACTGCCCAGCAGCACTAAGATGCTCCCCACCCCCTGCCCAGGGCTCCCACACCCATAGGCACAGGTCCCCTCATGTCCGTGTCAATGCTCTGTGCCACACCTCCCGTCTCACTGGACTGCGAGCTTCCTGAAGACAGGCGTCAGCTCTTAACACTTCAGTATAAATCATACCCTGAGGCTAAAAGAAGGATTAGTCTTCTGTCTACATGAGACACGCTAAATAGGACAAAGGAGCCATAACAGAGAGAGTGAAAGACAAACAGAAGGAAGGAAGCCCAACTCCGCCTTGGGCACAGCGCCTGTTTGTGTCCTGTACCAACTGGCATGGAGGGGACATCGTATGGGCCACGCCAACGAGCGCTCTGCGTTGACGCCTGAGGGTGACTCACACGTGTCACACTGAAGTCAGCCAGTCAGCGCTGAGTACTATTGAGCACCTGCTGTCTGGTGGCACCGCCTTACCCAGCCGTCATGGGACAGGCGGCCGAATGCTCACCGTCTGCTGGGAACCTGGCCCTCTTACCGCGGCTGACTTGACTTCAGCCTCCCAATGTTCCCACTGTGTATGTGGAGCAAGTTTCCTAAGTGATGCGTCTGACTCGCCAGGAAGCCGACCACCGCTCAGCCCTGCTGACTCAGGGCAAACCTGTGGCCCCAGCACACTGCCTGACGCTGCTCCTCAGCCCGTCTGCCTGACAAATTTCCGTATTTCCCCATGTATAAGACACACCCTTTTCGAAAAATTTGGGGTCTAAAAACTGGGTGCGTCTTATACAGTGGTTGTAGATGTTTTTACTTGCATTTTCCGCTTTTGATGCGATTGTTTTTGCGCTCATTGTTGTAGATTTTTTTACTTGCATTTCCCGCTTTTTCGCGCTTGTTGTCTTTGCGCTCAGTGTTTCACACTTGTTACCCGTCTATTATGGTAGGTTACGTTTTGCCACGTTCTGCCCAGAAATGGCTCAGAAAAGATTGTCGTACAGTGCTGGATTCAAGCCAAAAGTGATCCAGTTTGCAAAAGTGAAGAGAAATCGTGCTGCTGAATGTAAGTTTGGTCTTCCTCCAACTGAGAAAACAATCCGAGACTGGCTACGGGAAGAAGAAACCCTACTGAAAACGCCACGGCAGAAGAAGGCCATGAGAGGCAATATATGAAGACAGTGATTCGTCGTCAGACACAGATGAGGACACGCTAATGGCTGGGAGTTTTGACAGTGACGAGTTGTATGAATTTTATGATGAATAAAACTTGAGTTCAATAACTTTATGTAATACATTTTTTTCAAATTTCGGGCCCCAAAATTAAGGTGCGTCTTATACATGGGAACATCTTATACATGGGGAAATACGGTATGTGCACATCCTGGTTGTGGGCAGAAAGCGCCAGTCCAATGACACCAGAAATGTGACTTCTAGGTTCAAAGAATTCCACCATACTCTGCACTGGACAGTTCAAATATTTCCAAATTTCCTCATAAGGAGAAGGATTCTTTACAATTCACTTCTGCCTCCTCCACACCATCTTTTCCCTACAGGTCATGCCAGTCCAGATGAGGACAGTCCAGTGGGGCGCACTGAAATAAAATGTGGTTTTACATACAGCTCTGCATGGATTTCAGCTGCCTGCCCAACCCGGGGAAGTGGCTGGCATCACCTACGCTGACAAGGACGTGGTCTGAGGAAAAGGAGGGGTGGAGAGGAGGAAGGAAAAGGGTGAGAGCCACAGTGTTGGCGTCGGCCGGCTCGCCCTGTCATCACAGCGCCTGGCCTAATGCATTGTCCTGGAGTGCCTGCGGGTGACACTTTGGTGGCAGCACGACCCGCTGCTACAGCTGCTCAGAAACGACCTGTCAGGGAAGGGTGGCGGGTCAGGCTTAATCACACATCACCATAGGGGTTGGTTGGTGCCGAAACTGTCACCAGCTCAGCACAGTCTCCTCACCCTGGTCACACCTCGGCCCCAAGCAGCTGACCCGCAGGCCGGGGCTCACTGAGTGATCTGCCTCCCCTGGAGCTGACCTGACGCTCCTGTCCTGTGGCACTTGGCAAGAAGAAAGTGCTGGGGGCTCTGCTCCCGCTAAGCTAAAGGTAGGCGGAACGGAAATCACTGAAGTTACAAAAAAAAAAACCATTAAAAGCACATAAAAGGGACCACGTATAGAAATGGAGGGAAAGTTATTCTAATGCTAGCAGGAAGTCTGAGGAACGGAGGTAAAACTGGCTAAAGAAATGAGCTTTAACTCTAGACTTGGCGACTTAAACTTCCCAAACAACGAGTCACCTAACACCATGAATGACACCAACTATGAAATGAGCAAAAAGCCAAATTCTTAAACCCTGAGAATGACGCAGTAAGTGTGTATCGGCGTGAGCGCAGTGCGTGACAGCGGCGTGGGGACCCAGCATGAGACGTGCGCTGACGGGGACACATTTGTGGAGACCGGAGACGTCTATGGAAACTGATGAGGCACAAAAGCTCAGTCTGAAAGCAGTGCGCGCCACCATTCAGAAGACGCCTCCATGTTTCATAATTGAGGTTTACGTGCGCAGCCCGCTCGGACCCTTTGTTCCCCTTGGACTGAACGGTTTCTTGGAGCCTGGTGTTCGCTGAAGCCTAAAATCAGAACTGACAGCAATTCACCGCGACAAAGTGGGTCCTCCCTGCCCGCCCGCCCGCAGCCCCTGTCCCATTGATGCCCCAGAAACCACTGGTCTCTCGGTGGTCATCTGCCAGGAGAAGAAAGCAGGGCGGACGGGAGAACGTGTGGCTCAGGCCGGGACAGGACGCGCGGCTCCCCGGGCCCCTCCCGGGCTCACCTGCGCCCCGCGGGTCCTCGCCCGCGCGCTCCCGGGGCTCCGGCGACGCGCCCCGCTGGAGCCGGCCCAGCGCCTGCAGACACTCGCGCAGCAGCGCGGCCGCGGCGCCCCGATCAGCCATGACGGGGACCCTCCGCCACGAGGAGTCCAGCGCGTCCGGGTCCCGGTGACCGATTACCCAGCAGAAGACATCGGTTCTCGATAAATGAGGCCCTTCAAGGCCGAGATACCTGGTGGATAAAAGAGGGAAACAGGTGATTACCTGATGCATCATCGATTCCCTGTGAGACCCAAGCACGGAGGGAGAACAGGGCCGTCCTTGGGCAGCAGGACGCCCCAGGACGGTGTGAGGGGCCTGGTCTCCACCGGCGGCCCCTCAAAGGCGCAGGCGGCATGAGGCAGAGCGTCCCGGTGAAAACCCCACAGTGAAGTCCCTGGAATCCCACGCGGAGCCCGGCCACCTGAGACACCCCATCTATGTCCTCCGCACATGTCCCATCGGCGCCCCTCGATGCGGTGGCACCAAACTCTGATAGTCGGACGGTCCTAATACTCAGACACAAGCGCACGGGGACCAAGGTTAGCAGTCAGGCAACCAAGGCCGATCTCCACGTGCGGCGTTCTTAACATTTAACACCATATAATTGGGAAAAGATGGGCGATGACAGGTGCCAGATTTAAAGCTCTTCACAGCCAGGCACACTGCCAAGCGAAGAGGGGAAATGACGTCTCAGAAAACCCAGTTTCCTGGCTCTGTCATGTGGATGACGGGTCCACTTCCACTGCGCTTTGGCACACAGTTGAGTGACTTCTTATGTAAATGTGACTATAGTGTAATGAGCTGTTGCAGTCAACGTAATTTCAAGAACAAAAAACTTACAGACAGTACAAAAATGCCTGACAAATACCAACAGGTTCGATTAGCTAATCTTTTTGTCTGTCTTCCCTTTATTAAAGTATGTGCATTGTAACCAAAACCACAGAAGTTGTTCCCTTTCTGAGTTTGCCAGGCTGGAGAGTGGAGCTGCTCTCTGCGTTAGACTCTGCAGGGCCCGCACAGTCTTCTCAGGAAGCCAGGAAGAGAGTGACAGCTGTGTGGGCTGGGCCGGCCTCCAGCTCATCCACAATTCGAAGGAACCACCGAAAACACTGACGCATGGGGTGGTTGTGCTGGGTTGGAAGGAAACGTGCTCTACTACCCAGTGACCTCACTTTAAGAAGCTGGATTTCAGTTTAAAATAGAAAGCCAGCATTTTTCTTTTTTTTTTTCCTGTCCTGAGGCATAAGAGGAGCAGAAAATGAAGGATGAAGTAACTGCAATCTAAATTTTGCTTTTCTCAATCTAACCTCTGTGGTATACATCATATGTTTTGGGTTTTAAAACACATGCACCACACACACGTTGCACAGGACTGTCAAAGCAAAGTCTTAGGATGCTACGGGCTTGTTTCATTAAATGAATCCTGTATTTTTGGGGAAGGACACAAGCAAAGATATGAACATCTGATATTTGAAAGAACATTCCCATAAATGAGGACGTGAGGAATTAAGCAATGGATGCATTTCAACATGAGTATAAATTGAGTCTCTCTTCTGTTTAGGACGTTTCGGAATGTGTGCCTGCATGGACTGCGTTATCGGGCTAAATGGTTTCCAATGGCCCTTTAGCCCAAGTGTTTATAAGTCAGCGTTTTGTGGTCCAAGCTGGCCATTAGCTTGACTTTTTATGAAAAGAGGCGAGTGGCAAGGCTGGTCAGAGAGCTAATTAGTGGACCGGAGTCAGCAAAAGGCCATGAGCTACAACATTCCACCCCCACCACTCCCTGAAAAAGGAAGCTGTGGCTATAACAGGAGGTTAGCGTGGAGAGTAAGAAATAAAAGCGGTCGAGAAAGTTAATAACAAACCTTCAAGTTTGCTTGGTCTGTGCTATGGGCAAATAGCAACTCCTATTCTCCAAGATCTGAATTACAGCAAGAAGCGGGATTCTCTTTTCTAGGACCCTTTTCAGGGCTTCATATAGACAGAGAGGTGTAAAAAGGAAATATGAAGAGTTCATGCACAAAAAAATAGAACTGTACTATACTATAATATATAATATAATATAATATAATATAATATAATATTAATAGCACATCGTCCCGTCATCTTATACTTGTGTTTTATTGGTGTGCTATCATCTGCTTACGGTAGAAAGTAGTCTTCCATTATACTGGCAAGTTAAAATAAATTTTAATTGTTCTGTTTCTGTAAATGGTTCAAGCAGAGATAGCATGTAATAATGAAAAGAGAACCCAGAAATAGTAATACGACACACACAATGGCTCTCCATAGACATTTGTTGACTAATTCCTTCTGTGTCATTAACTATAACACCTCTGAGAATCACTTTTCTCATCTGTATTTTGAAGGTGTTGGCTGGAATAATTGTTATGATCCTTCCAGGTCTTAAATTATATAGTCAGTGGCAATCTAGAGAAACCAGTTTGTCTATTGCTGAAGAATATCTGATGCTTATTTACTGAAGAATTCCTGGCTCTTTTGGGAGCCCCTAAGTATAATATTTTCATGTATACTTTCCTCTGTGCTTTAGAAACGTCAGCTTGAATCTTAGAGGCTGATTACTAGATAAATACACGTCGTCGTTTTTGTTCCCTCACTTGGAACCCCAATTCCTGGTACGCAGACCATAAATCTCTTCCTTTTGTCTAAGTGCTGTGCAGGAGAGATCAGGTATGTGGTCCTGTGAGGGCAAACAACAGGACTTGACCTCATCATTTGGGCAGGGCAAGGGGGGGCCTCCCTGAGGGCGTGATGCCTGAATTCAGCTCTAAAAGGAGGCACAATGCTTAATGAAGTTAAAATGGTGGGGAAGTGCCCTGGTGTGGAAGGAGACACAGAGGGACTGGAAGAAGGCCAGGTTGGCCAAATGGAGGTACAAGGAGAAGGGTGACGTGGGGCGAGGCAAGAAGGGACCGTGCAGGGCCTGGCATGCTGGCTAAATAGCCTTTTGTCGACCCCAAGAGTGATAGGGAACTACTGGTAGCAGCTGGGCCACGACCAAACCTGCATTTGGAGAAGGTCACTCTGTGGTGTGTATTGGGGGTGGAGAGGAAGAGGGGGATCACAGTTAGGTCAATTAGGTATTTGTTGCAATAATGCGGGTGAGAGATAGCAGGACTTTGGAGCAGGGCAATAGTATTGGAGATGGAAAAAACTGGACAGATTTGAGAGGTGCTGAGGAAGCAGTTGCAGCGCTGGTCTGGATGGGTATGAGTGGTCTTAAGGATGAGGCCCAAACTGCTGCCCGTCATAGCTCAGAATGGAATGGGTGATGTTACCGTACGTGAGACAAGGGGACACGGGAGAGAGCTTCCAGGGAAAGGCATAAGTGCATCTTCTGTTTTGTATTTCTAGCCATAAAGATTGTAAGAACGTAAGTCATACTGTCCAAAATAAGCAATCAGATTTTAACCAAGGAAGCATTTCTAAGTAGGAAGAAGAGATTTCCAAGATAATTAATGTTTAGTACTGTGACTGCCCAAAATATACCAAAGATATTCTTTATGTTTTTTGAAAGTTATAGCACTTTCCCCTCTCCCTGTAGAGTCAGGAGAGACAATAGGAAGAAAATACTGTAACATGAGAAATACCCTGGAATCCAGCCATCTGTGCAGACTTGTGTGCTTCATTGTTAGGCCTGACAGAGGCTGCAGCCTGGGACACTTTCCTTCAGGCAGCAGTCCTGCTGGAACTTTTGGTCAGCTTTGTTCATAAAACAATCATTTTCGAATTCAACATGTATCAGTCTTTACCCTCCGGAACCGGCACTCTGAACTGAATTATCTGTGAATTAAATAATGCAAGTTTCCCAATATTGTTAGTAATCTTTGGATTATTTTTTCTATGTTCATCCTCCCCCGGCCCATATATTTTTTTCTTGAAAGTCAAATAGAATGAGGCCGGATAAGCAATCAAACATACAATAGATAACTCTAGAATAACACTGATACCCAAGAAAGAATCATTCACACTGAGGCACAGTATGTACACTCACAGCCAAATGGTCATGTTTCATACATTCTGTGTTTGACTTTGACATCTGCATGCTTTCGTTTTCATTAATGACTTAGAGTGAAGCTGGGTGGCTGAGTCAGGATAATCGACAAGTCAGCCATCGTTAAAAATAAGCAAATCAGTGGATTTTTCAAAGCTACTTTTCTTTTGGCATTTGTGTTTGAGTCTTTTCCATTGGACAAAGTACCAGTGTTAGGGGATGAATCAGGGAAAATAATAGAATCCCAAAGATATTCCACAGTCTACTGGCTGCACCTCTGTAGTAATCCACCTGCCACCAGAATCCCTAAGCTTGAACACGTGGGGAAGCATCAAGAAGTCTCAGAGATGGTCTGTACTGTCCAGGAGTTTACAATATAATTAGGGGAATAGCACATAAATTGTAAAAATGAACTCTACAAGGCATATTACACACAATTACATTCCAAAAGCTCAATTTAAATTATCTTTGTTGGAATTCAATTAATTCTTTGTTAAATCATATGCAAGTTCATAAAGATCATTTAATTCATATGTACATGAATAATTATAGTGAAAATACTTTTCGTCTAAAATCAAAATCATTTATTGTGTTGTTTAAGAAAATGTATTCTGGTCTCCAATATAGAACAGTAAGAATACATTTCTCCAATCAGTCACCAGGAATGACAGCCCAGCCTTGGCCATCCCCCACCTTCCCCTCAGCCACCTCCCACACAGACTCTGACCACGTTGCCCCTTGTACCGATTGGTGGTGCAAATGGGGAAACAAAAGGTGAAAGAGAAACCTGACTGGAAAGCATACAAGTATGGGGCTTGGACAAGTAGTTTGGGTAATGACCGTCTTGTTAGCATTTTAAAACTGCATAAAAAGGGAGAAAGAGAGGCACTTTCTAAGTTACAAAACACCTAAAGAGTAGACTTCTGTTTCTAGCAGTATGGAAGACGATATGTCCTGAATAACACTTCTGCTTAAAACAACTAATGCTGGGAAAGCATTTTAAAATCTCTAAAAGGTATTAGTGAGGGGGTGACCAGTTACCTCAGTTGGTTAGAGCGTGGTGCTGATAACACCAAGGTTGCGGGTTCGATCCCCGCATGGGCCACTATGAGCTGCGCCCTCCCTAAAAGAGTCAACTATGCCATTGTAGCATGAAAGCAATGTGTAACCAATGACCATGGCTGTTCCCCAATAAAATTTATTAAAAGAAAAAAAAGTATCAGTGAGATGCCAGGAAAGGAAGGACCACTCGGAAGACAAAACCAAGTAACAGCTGGAACCCAGAAAGTGAATCAGCCCAGAAGCTAGCCTTGGCCTAGTGTGTGTTTGCCCAACACTGTGAGTTGAAACCTCAGTTTTCACTATTTTGGAGTGTGGGAGGGTAGGACATAAAACCAAAGGCCTACCCAGGTGGGACATATACATGTAAGAGGACACTGCCCCCCTGGGCAAACCTGAGATCCTAAAAGGTTGCACCTTTAGTGTAAGGCTGAGCTCCAAGGAAAATTGCCTGTGTCAAAACACGCTGCTTCATGAGAGTTTGA